CGTTTCAAAATTAGATGGACAACCCACAAGCATAAAAGCACTCTGCCAAATTTGTTAAAATCTGTAAAATTTGTTAAAAGTTCTCTGTTGCAAAAACCAAACCAAAACCAAACCAATAATTAAACACAAAGTTAAAACACAGAAGGCAAATTGGGAAAACATTTGCAGAACACAATGACAGACAAAAGGATAATTTCTTTCATTTATAAAGCCCAGCTGAATCAGTAAGAAAAATGCAAAGGATGTGAATAAGCAATTCAAAGAAAAAGAAATACTGACTGTCATTTTACATATACAGAGGTGTTCAACCTCATTCACATTTTGGTGAGGGTATAAATTTGTGCAATTTTTTAAAAGGGCAATTGAACAAAATCTACCAATACCTCTTTAAAGTGTAGTTCTATAGTTTAGGACTTAGCATTTCCACTCCTAGGAAGATTTTAGTTTTGTTTCCAAGGTTTAAGAGGTCCATGTTTGGTAGCATTAAGTTAAATGACGTCACGAAGATGTTTTGGTGGCACTTTTGTAAATGAATTGCTTCCAGAGCACCAAGAACCAAGCCGAAAACTCGCCTAGCTGTGAATACTTAGATCTGTAGATTAGTTGTGTTCTAGATTTGTGAGTTGAGTGACAAGCACTTGAACAAAAACGTAGCATTTAAAAATTTCTTTATATTAGATAAAATATGGTACTTTACAAATGGAACTCTATGCATCTTTAAAAATTACTAGATTTAGATGTTCAAATGTGGAAATATCCCTAAGAACTATGAAGGGGGGCGGGGGGGAGAGCAGAAGAATGATCAGTAAAAATCCATATTGTATAACTATTAAAAAGGTAAGAATACAAACATATATAAATATGTACATATTTGGGGGGAACATAATATTGGTTACCTTTGGAAAGAGGGATTGCTGGTAAGGAGGGCTATTGACTTTTCATTTTGAACCTTTCTATGCTGTTTTGCGTGTTTTAAGCCCATGTCTGTCTTTTCCTTAAAGTCCAGAAAGGTGGTCGCAAGGATTACGAGACATTTTTGTTTTCTTCTTTTTAACTTTTCTGTATTTAAAAACAACTGAATGGATTTGTAATCTAAACAGGTTATTTTCTGCTTGACCTCCGGTCACAGAGCTGCCAGATGTGGTGGTGAAGGATTCTCGCTGCCGCCAGGGCGCTGGGGCAGCGCGCACGTGCGGGCGGCCCGGCGGCCGCGCCCCGAGCATCCCGCGGTCGCCTGGGGTCGCGGGTCACACCCCTCCGCGGCGAGCGGACAGTGCGCATGCGCGGGAGGGCGGCCTGCGCGCGCCGAGCCGCGGCGAGAGGGGAGCCGGGTGCGAGCGCCGCGGGGCTGGGGCGGTCCTCGCTCGGCTCCCGATGGTTCCCCTTTCTCCTTTCTTGCGGTGATTTGCCTTCTCGTGCTGGAATTTCTTACCTAAGCCCATTCCCCAACGGGCACCCCTAGGGCGGCGAAGGCCGGGCCGGGAAAGGAGAAGAGCTGGTGGGCACACGCTTTGGGGTCCACTTGACTGTATCCTCCCAGATTTTCATCGATCTTTACAGAATTTGCCATGAACCTGCGGTACTCGGCTCCAGCCGGTTGATTTTAGAATGTTCTCACACTGAGTCAACATGCGTACATTTACCGAGGAAGCCAGGATAAACAGGCGTGGTGACCCCTCCTGCGAGGCGCTAGATGGCAGAAGCGCCCAGGAAATGCCTCAAGTCCCAGAATGCCCAAGGAGGGGACCGCTCCCGCCCGACTGTGGCCGCCTCGGCTTCAGTGTTTAAGACCATGTCACCGAGTCGCTTTTCTCTCAACGTTCTGCCTCATGATGAAAGAAAAGGAGAGAATAAAGAGGGAGGGAGGGAGGGAGGGAGGAGTGGAGAGAGAGAGAAAGAAAGAGAGAAAGAGAGAGAGAGGAGGAGATGGGGAGAGAGGGAGAGAAAGAACCCACAACTTTCTTTAATTCCGTGTCGGCCTCATTAGGCCAATAGGTTCTTTTCTAGAGACTCGATTCCCCCAAGTGTTACCTTGGGGATTCTCACCTCTTGACTCTGGGTATCCTTAACGCTCTGCTCTTCTGGGCGGTGTTTGCTTCTCCACAGGATGAATGCTGTGCATTTGAGCTCTGAGAACCAGAGTTTATTCAGGATGGAGGGTGTATACAAAGGAGGGGGAACTGGGGCACAAAGAGAGGAAACTGGTCCCCATTCCTCAGCTTGCTCCCCGTTCCGGCCTCCTTTTCACACAAAGGCAGGCGTAGCTGGCAGATGCCGACGGGGACGTCCTGAGGTCTTCCACTTCCTGGCTTCAGGTTGACTCCGCATGGCTTTGTCAGCGCTCCTCTGGCAGCCCCCTGTGTTCTCGGGTCTCTTGCCCTGACCCTCGCTCGTTTGTGTGAGTCCCCACCTGCGGTGTCCCTAGCCCTGGATGTGCCCTCTCCCCGAGTCTCTCCTACGGGCCGCTATATGCCCACAATTTCTGTCCTCTCAGTGTCTTTCCACTGTCACCTTCTCAGCTAACCCCCTTTATTTATTTATTTCACCAAAACAGTTTTTATTTCCAGGGTTTAATTGGGTATGCACACAGGCATGACACAGGTTTGGATCCATTAAGTCCTCATGCAGAATGATATTCTCCATAAAGAAGCCAGTTTCACCCAAGCAACTATCTACACACCTATGTTACAACACTTAACATCAAATCTGGTATCTGAAGAAAAGATACACATATAATTAAGTTACGTATTTTACAGAAAGATTAAAACTTCAAGTCACACAAAACTCAAAAACTGTATTAAAAGTTAGAATAGAAAACTCAGAGATCCACCTGGAATGACTAGAGAATGGAAGCTCTGTATCCACCTGTGTTAAAACTGGTAAATGTGGTGAAATTTGTTACCAGTAAAATGCATTCGTTTACTCAATGTAAGTTATCTAATTTTAACAATATGGCATCCTAAAAACCAAATGTATTTTTATGACGAGGCACTTTCTCACCTAACCCCATTTAAAATGAGGTTTTGTTCAGGTTATTTGTATGGAAATATGTTAACATAAATGTTTCAGACATTACATGAGATTTCTAAAAGTTTTTTTTTATTTATTTTATTTTATTATAAAATAATAAATTTTATTTTTTTATTTTTATTTTATTTTATTATTATATAATAATAAATATTATTTATTTTATTATTTTATTATTATATAATAAAAATTTATTATAAAATAAAATTTATTTTATTTTTTTTAAGTATTATTTAAAAAATAAAAATAAATAAAATGAGGTTTTGCTTCGCTCATACCTTTGGAATGTGATGAACAATCAGGCTTCTTTTGAGTGCCACCACCAGATCTCCACCTCATATGGCTCCAGGAAATCCTATGCTTTCCCGCCATTTGTTGTTACTCAGTAAACCCCTAACTTCTTGTTGGGGGATTCAAAGGGGGATTAGAAAGATTTCTTGCTTTCAGAAAGACTAAGCACACGCAACAACTAGTGAATAATTCAGGATGACATTTTAGGACAATAATGTTTAAAGTTATTTTTTAAAATAAAAGTGTAGGGACTTCCCTGGCGGTCCAGTGGTTAAGACTTCGCCGTCCAGTGCAGGGGGTGAGGGTTCCATCCCTGGAAGGGGAGCTAAGATCCTACATGCCTTGGGGCCGAAAAACCAAAACATAAAACAGAAGCAGGGAGGGAGGGAGACGCGAGAGGGAAGACATATGGGAACATATGTTTATGTGTGACTGATTCACTTTGTTGTGGAGCAGAGACTGACACACCATTGTAAAGCAATTATACTCCAATAAAGATGTTAAAATAAATAAATAAATAAATAAATAAACCAAAAAAAACCAAAACAGAAGCATTATGGTAACAAATTCAATAAAGACTTTAAAAAATGGTCCACATCAAGAAAAAAAATCTAAATAAAATAAAAAACACTTAAAAATACAATAAAAAATAAAAGTGTAATGAAACAACCATGTCTGACAACAAGGCTACTGTGGGAGATCTTACCTAAAAGCTGCACAGAAATATAGACCATTAAATGACAGGGATGCAATGATGCTTTGAACGCTTGGATGGCTGGGCTTGCAGCTCAGTGAAATGCGTTTGAGTTTCGTGAGACCAAGCAGCTCACGGATCAGTGGTTTACAGGTCGCCACCGTGGCTCTACCCAGAAGAGTCTCTGTTGAGCTTTGTTCCTAAACGAGATCTCCTGCAGTGGAGGAGAAAGACAGGAAGCTCTCGCCAGGAGTGAACATGAAGAGGAGACAGGGAAAGACTCCTTCAGGGGGTTCTGAGAGCATGCTTTGTGTAGGACAAGGCTGCTCTCATCCTGGTGCTTTCCTGCTCAAAATCATTGGCTTCTCGTTGCCTAAAGCAGCATTTCCAAAGTGAATTCCACAGAACAGCTGTGCTTTATTCCATGAAAAGAGGTTCCACGGGTTAAACCAGCACTTTTCAAACTTTAATCGGTGTTATCAGTCACCTTGGGACCTTGTGAAATGAAGATTCTGATTCTGGAGTGGAGCCTGAGATTCTGCATTTTCTACCGAGCTTGCCGGTGGTGCTGATGTTTCTGGTCTGCAGACCACATGCTGAGTGAGCAAAGGATCAAAACTGGTTAAACATATCTTTTTCTTTTTTTTATTTTATTTTTGGCTGCGTTGGGTCTTCGTTACTGCGCATGGGCTTTCTCTAGTTGCGGCGAGCGGGGGCTACTCTTCGTTGCGGTGGGCGGACTTCTCACTGCGGTGGCTTCTCTTGTTGCAGAGCACGGGCTCTAGGCGTGCGGGCTTCAGTAGTTGTGACACGTGGGCTCAGTAGCTGTGGCTCGCGGGCTCTAGAGCACAGGCTCAGTAGTTGTGGCGCATGGGCTTAGTTGCTCTGCGGCATGTGGGATCTTCCTGGACCAGGGCTTGAACCCATGTCCCCTGCATTGGCAGGCGGATTCTTAACCACGGCGCCACCAGGGAAGCCCTTTTTTTTTTTTTAAAGGAATTTTAATGCCTTTAATGTGCTCACGTGTACTGTAAATCTCCAGGAGGCATGAACAGAATCCAATGTTTCCCAAATGTATCTGCTCTTGGAACCCTTTCTTCATGGAGCATCTCTGAGGAATAGGTTTTTGGGAAATGCTAATCGAAATGATAAAGCCAAGTTCTGGCATTCCAGAGATGCGTGCTGCTCTCCTACTCACCCTGTTCGCTACTCCTGCAGACTCCTGAGTTCCTAAACAAAGGCTTTGAAAGTTTTAAGTTCGCCATCAGACCCCTACATCACTCTCCTACTCACTTACTCTTTATCTGCATCTCCCCCTTTCCCTTCCTGCCTCCTGGTTCGATTCCCATCGTGCCCACTACTCCTAAGTGCAGTGCCTCCTAAACTTCAATAAGCTTAAGAATCCACCCCCCTCACTGCTTAAATGCAGATTCCTTGGTCCCATCTCCAGAGACCCTGATTTAGGAAGTCTGGAGTGCAGCCTGAAAAGCTGCATTTCTAACAAGCTCCCGGTGACACGGATGCCACCGTCCAAGGACCACACTTTGAGATAGACTCTCCCTCACCAGAGAGGCCCCCTTTCCCACTAACTTTGGAACTTCCTAGTACTTAGCAGGCAACCACTGGATGGCTGTTTACTTTTTCTTGACTGTGTTTTATTCCCTGTAAATCTGTAAGCCTCGAGTGAAGGGACCATGACTTAATTCTTCTTTTCTAGTTGTCTAGTTCAGTACTTTGAATGAACAGCAAATGAAGGCCACCCCTCTGTGAGCCAGGCACCGGCTGCTGAGGCTGGCGGGGGCAAGATGAGCCACCTTCCCTGCTCCAGCCACATGCTTCCCCTCCTCCCGCTGAGGGGCCCAGATCGGCTGGACTTCCTTCACAGTGATGCAAGCTTTCTGGAAAAAGGCAACGGCCTGGCTCATCATCAAATTCGCTTCTTGCTTCTGGCACGTGTGCTTGTGTCGCCCAGACCCTTGGGCTGGCATAGACGCTGGCACAGACACTGGCACAGATATTTTGCCCCTTTACCATGTATCCTGGTTACCGGTAATTGGTTTTGTTTTCATGCTCACTCCCTCCCTTCATACCCTGCAGGACCTCTGAAAGGCATACTTGTTTCCTTCTCTCTCTGTCTCTGCCTCTCTGTCTCTCTCTCTTCCCTTCCTCATATTCCTGGCTGATGCCGTGGACTGTCATAGCCTGGGTCGTCTGCCTGACTTTGAAACCCAATCACTTTGTCCTGCCTTCAACAAGGGCACACAAACGTAACTGCATGCAGACAGGTACAGAGAAAAAGTCTGTATTGCCTCCATTTTAATAAAATCCTGCCTCTTGCCATTTGGAGGTATAGCCCAACCTACGTACCAGAGATGACAGCCATAGCGAAAAATACGTAAGGCCCCTGACAAACATTTATCCATCCTCTGCGCTTGGCGCTTCAGGTTATATGAAGATGAACCAGACTTCAAGGATCTTGCAGTTTAGAAGGAGAGGCAACACAGCCACATAGAATGTGACACGTTCCATGAACAAAATATAAGTGAAGTAGGGGAAGAACTTCAAAAGAAGGAATTTTATGGGTTGAATCGTGGTCTCCACCAAAATCCACGAGTTGAAGTTCTTACCCCTTTCACCTCGGAATGTAACCATATTTAGAAATAGGCTGTTGCAGGTGTCATTATTTAAGATCGCGTCGTACTGGACTAGGGTGGCCTAATCCAATGTGCCTGGTGTCCTTAATAAAGGGGGAATTTGGAGACAGAAATGCACACAGGGAGAGTGCCATATGAATATGAAGGCAGAGACTCGGGGTGACGCCTCCACAGCCAAAGAACAACAAAGATGACCAGCAAACCACGAGAAACTAGGGGAGGGGCCTGGAGCAGAGCCCTCCTCATAGCCTCAGAAAGAGCCCATCCTGCGCTCAGAACTGTGCCGCAAATTTCCGTCACTGAAGCCTCTCACGGTTCGTGTTACTTTCTTAGAGCGGCCCTAGGAAACAGGGAGAGTTCTTGTGTCAGGCTACTAAGGAAGATTTCATAGAAAACGAAGGAGGCAGAATCCAAGCTCAGACTTAAAGAGAAGACATTCGAAGAAAAGGAAAGAGCATTAGGAAAAACAAGACAGAAAAACACTAAAAGCACTTGGGAAATTGACATGAGCTTTAGAACCTTCAGGGGGTCAGGGGAACTGGCAGAGGTAGTATTAGAGATGTCAGAGATGAGTATTGTAGGTTTGGGAAAATGTATTTTGAATTATGACATTATTTCTGTAATTCTGTATATAAGGCACCCAGCTATGCACGTCTTATAAATAAAATCTCATTTTTTTTATCCAGAGCATAACATAATTGCTGAACCCAGCTTTGACCATTTCACTACTGCATTTTTTTTTTTCACGGTACACGGGCCTCTCACTGTTGCGGCCTCTCCCGTTGTGGAGCACAGGCTCCGGATGCGCAGGCCCAGCGGCCATGGCTCACGGGCCCAGCCGCTCCGCGGCACGTGGGACCCTCCCGGACCGGGGCACGAACCCATGTCCCCTGCATAGGCAGGCAGACTCTCAACCACTGTGCCACCAGGGAAGCCCTCACTACTGCATTTTGAACTTGAACATTCTCAGTTTTATAGCCACTGAATGGAATTTATGATATCAGAATAAAAATTCAGGCCTTAAATTTTTTAAATAAGACAGCATCAGAAGTTTCCCTACTCACTTATCAGCAATAATAACTTTTTTGCTTCTCTTTTAAGCGCTTGTTAGTCCTAGTGCTCTAGGAAGCACAACAGGAGAAGAGTTCTGGGATGGACGTCTAAAGGCCTAGACTCAGGGAAATAGGTCATTTCAATCTAGACTTTTCTAAGCGGCAAAGCCACTCATCCCCCACCCACCCCGCCCCTGCCATACACACATACAAGGTCTCACTGTCATGTCTAAAAACAGAGAAACATCTCCGTCGTTTACCTTTCAAAACTGTGGTGAGGGTAAATGAAACGAGGTTTTAAAAGATGCTTGCGCAGGAATGTGTGTGCTTCACTTGATTTCTTCATTTACTCCAGGGAAAGGGCAGACTACATGGTCTTTAATATTCCTTCCACCATTAAATCCTAACCAAAGGAAGTAAATTAATTGAATTCTTACAGCACAGGTTTAGAGCAGTGGGAATTGTGTATGTGTATGGGGGCGGGGAGGGAAGTGGGCTATGTAGTGACACAGACACAGCCATACCTCTATCTGTGCCCTTAGATGGCAGCAGGGAGCTAATTCGTGACAAAGTTGGCTGCAGCCGGGCTTCTCTCTTTGTCAGAAAGGTTTCCCTTGACTTTTTACCTCAGAGATTCAACAGGATTCTCAATCGCTCTCTCTCAATCTCTCTCCTCTCCTCTCTCTTGCCCTAGGTTAAAGAAAACACCTTTTTACTACATTATGAAAAATGTCAAATGTTCACAAAGTGAGAATAATATACTGTAATGGGCCCCTGTAAAGTTTTGCCATACTTGCTTCAGTTATCCACCCATTCCTCTCTCCTTCCCTCCCTCCCACGCCATTGAATTTTAAGGCAAATCCCAGACTTCGTGTGCTTTGATATGCCGTCTAAAATACACGTGCATAGGACTTCCCTGGTGGTGCAGTGGTTGAGAGTCCGCCTGCCGACGCAGGGGACACGGGTTCGCGCCCTGGTCCGGGAAGATCCCACATGCCGCGGAGCGGCTGGGCCCGTAAGCCATGGCCACTGAGCCTGCGCGTCCGGAGCCTGTGCTCCGCAACGGGAGATGCCACAACAGTGAGAGGCCTGCGTACCGCAAAAAAAAAAAAATAATAAATAAGTAAATAAAATACATGTGCATATATTTCTATGACATAATGCTACTATGAAACTTAACAAAATTAATGATAACTTCTTAGAATCATATCATGTCTCTTTTCAATGTTTTTAAGCAAGAAAAATGGCAAGATTTTATATAATCTACAATTTAACCAAAAGAATACTTGAATAATAAACCAGTTCCAGTTGGGAGGTTTCTGATACAGCATTCCGTTACATAAATGGCTTTAGAGAAAAGTATAGCTGGATTGTAACTGGAAGACCTGAGGAATATTCTCCTCTAAATTTTAGTCCATCTCATCACTGTTCTATGCTTCAGTTCTAGTAACCCCAGAATGGTGCTGTTACCTGGCAGGGCTCTAATGAAGATAAAAGAAACAGCATCTGTTAACCTCATTAAAGTTCACCGAGGCAGGATGGGGCTGCATGCTAGTAAATGGAGCACACAAATGTGAGGCATGTACACTGCTCTTCACGTTGAAAAGTAATCACAGAGAACCCTTTCTCCTTCAGCGCACGTACTGATACTTCAGAGCACGTGTGACACATGGAACTCCTATTAACTATGACAGGGTGGAGTTAGGTAGGAAAGACATGCCAGACACCACCTCTTAGTGACCTTGGGAGAAAATGCTAGTGCTATGCCTATAGCTGTGGGAAGAGATACATATAAATATATGTTCATGTCAGTTAGATCTTTGATACCTGGAAAACAAGAATTTAGGAAAGGGAGTCTGGCTGATAACTGTTCCAGAAGAAAACAACTCAATTTGTCAGTAAATAACAAAAACCTTCATATTACCCAGCTATTCTGCTTTCAGCAACTTACCCTAAATAAGTGAACATAGATGCAGGCAAACATACACTTCTAAGGTCATTTGTGTCAGTCACGTTTATAACCACAAACATTTTTTATATGTTCAACAACACAGTTGGTTGAATAAATTACATTACAGCATCATGATGAAATACTTTGTAGCCTTTAAAATGCACCTAGTGGGAATATATTAATATGTAAATGTTTTGACATTATCTTTAGTAAAAATAATCATGTTATAAGATAGTACAATGAGGATAATTCCTCTTTAACTATATTAGTGTATTTACACCTGCACACACACATACACATATGCACAGAGAAACAAGGTTAGAAAGATACAGAGTTAACATAATGCTAATAGTAATTATCTCTTTAAGTAGAATAATTTTTTTGCCTCTAGATTTTTCTATAATGTACATACAGAACTTATGTAAAAAATTCTTTTTCTTTCTAAAATTTGACTATCAGATCTGACAACATGGAAGACTGACCTAAAGTAGAATGCCATGTACTACCAACCCAGAGAAATAACACATACAAGGAAGATAGAAAAAGAAAACAAGTCCCTCAGAAATAGAGAGAAATTTGAAACCCAGAATGAGATGCACATGAATTGACCATGCTCATGGTTGAAGGCACCATAGAGAAGGGACCCAGCAGTAAGTACCTAAACACCAGGAGCTTGGATTTTAACGACACACAAGGACAGGAGATGAAACTTTAGGTTAAGTGGTCCACCACAAATTTTAAAAATACATAATATACCTGAACAAATGACCCCCATTCATGCAGCAGGATTAGCCCCTCAAGAACAGTCTGAAGGGGATTATGAAATAAGCATGTTTAAAATTATTAGAGAGATATTAAAAAGAAAGGAATAGAAACTATGAGGAAAGAATAAGACACTACAAAAAAAGAACAGGAAGATTTGAAAAATAGATAAAACTTACAGAAATTAAAAATAGTTATTGAAACAAAAAAATATAGATTCTCTCCTCCTAACAAGTTTAAAAGAAGGATTAAATAGTAAATTAAGTTCCAATGAAGAGATTATGAGAGATCTGCAAGACAGCATTGAGAAAATTAACCAGAAAGAGTCCAAAATGATAATAGAAAATGTGAAAAAGAGGCTAAGAGATATAGTGGATAAAATAAAAAGGTCCAAGATACATACAAAAAGGAAAAGGAAAGAATATAGATGATGAGGTAAAGGCAGTATTTTAAGAGAATAGGCTCAGAGGTTTCCTGAGTTGATGAAAGGCATGAATCCACATATCCATTGAATCCCAATGAGTCCAAAGAAATATAAACAAAAAGAAGGACTTCCCTGGCGGTCCAGTGGTTAAGACTTCGCCTTCCAATGCAGAGGGTGTGGGTTTGATCCCTGGTCAGAGAGCTAAGATCCCACATGCCTCAGGGCTGAAAATCCAAAACATAAAACAGAAATAATATTGTAACAAATTCAATAAAGACTTTAAAAAATGGTCCACATCAAAAAATAAATAAATAAATTTCTAAACCCATTTTAATGACATTGCAGGATGGCAAGAAAAAAAATCTTAAAAATAACTGGGGGGAAAAAAAGAATTTCTACAAAGGAAAAATATAAGTAGCACAATAGAGGCCAGAAGATAATGAAATATTATTTTCAAAGTGCTTCCACAAAATTACTATCAAATTAAAATTCTCTCCTCAGGTAAACTGTTATTCCAGAGTAAGAACAAAATCAAAAGGTTTAAAGACAAAGAGACTAAAACAATTTAACATCTACAGAACTTAGTGGGAAACTAATCAACCCTAGAAGAAAGAAATGGGAGCAAGAAGCAATGATAAACAAAGAATCTGGTCACCTGTGTGTAAACCTAAATGAGCACCAACTGTAACTAAACAACAATATCTAGGGGACGGGCGGGAACAAAGCGCAACTAAAAGACTGGACAACGGTAACAACATATAAAATGAGGGATTGCTAGGGTTACAGCATCCTAGGGGCTTATATCATTCCGAAGGAGGGTAGAAACACTAATTAACCTTAGACTTTAAGAAGACAGGAAAAGGCTTCCCTGGTGGTGCAGTGGTTAAGAATCTGCCTGTCAGTCCAGGGAACATGGGTTCGAGCCCTGGTCCGGGAAGATCCCACATGCCGCAGAGCAACTAAGCCTGTGTGCCACAACTCAACTACTGAGCCTGTGCTCTAGAGCCCGCGAGCCACAACTACTGACCCCGTGTGCCACAACTACTGAAGCCTGCACGACTAGAGCCAGTGCTCCACAACAAGAGAAGCCACCGCAATGAGAAGCCCGCGCACCGCAATGAAGAGTAGCACCTACTCGCTGCAGCTAGAGAAAGCCCACGTGCAGCAACAAAGACCCAACACAGCCAAAAATAAATTTTTTTTAAAAAAGAGAACAAGACAGGAAATAAGGAACAACATAATGAACAACTACAAGAGAAGACTTGGCAGATATGAAACATAAAGTAAGAAGAGGAAAAAAATCCAAATCTAACAGCAAACAAAATAAGGTGCTATAGTTAAATTAATGCCAGGCAAAGACGACTCAGAGGCACAACCCCATCCCCCAAATCATTATAAACAATCATGGAAAAGCTTCCCATGCTATGGACCAGGTCTAGAATAAACTTGATAACAAAACCAGAGAAGGACGGCACAAGAAGGAAAAATTACAGGTCAATCTCATTTGTAAACATGGATGCAAAAATCCTAAATAAGATATTAGCAAAACCAAACCAGAAGTGTGTATTTTTAAAAAGGAAGGAAAACATCCTTGCATTATTCCAGGAATACACAAATAGTTTAACGTTAGAAAATCCATTAACATAATCCACCATATAAACAGATTAAAGTACAGAAACTATAAGATCTTCTTAGCAGATGCAAGAAAAAGATTTGATTGAATTGACAGAATCATGATTTTAAAAAGAAAAAGTCTTGGCAAACTAGAAAGAGAAGGGAACTTCTTTAAAGAGTATATCAGGGGCTTCCCTGGTGGCGCAGTGGTTAAGAATCCGCCTACCAGTGCACGAGGCAAGGGTTTGAGCCCCGGTCCAGGAAGATCCCACGTGCCGCAGAGCGGCTGGGCCCGTGAGCCATGGCCGCCGAGCCTGTGCATCCGGAGCCTGTGCATCCGGAGCCTGTGCTCCGCAACGGGAGACGCCACAACAGTGAGAGGCCCGCGTGCCGCAAAAAAAAAAAAAAAACAACAAAAAAGAAAACACAATGTAGAATTCTATCAAATATTGAAAGAAAAAATAATACAAGAACATTAAGAAAATTTTGAAGAAAAATGAGGTGGGAGTAGTTGTCCTCTCATTTATCAAAACTCATTGTAAACTCATAGTAATTAACAAGCATGTTATTGGTACAAGGATAGGCAAATAGACCAGTGAGATAGAAAACAGAGACCCTAGAAAGAAACCCATATTTCTTATGAGAAATTGATGATCGAAAAAGTTTTCAATCCACGTTGAAAAAGAAGACATCTTCTTCATACTACACACCATATTCTGGAATACCAAAAAATTTCCAGATTGATTCCAAACCTAATGGAAAAAAGCAAAACTTTCAAATTTCTAAAAACTTACTGACAAAAATATAGGCTATTTATGACCTCAGGGTATGGCTGACATTCTTAAATAAGACAATAAAAACACAATGCATACAAAACTGGTAAATTTGATGTCATTAAAATAACACATTTCTGCATGAGAAAAGAAAATGCACGCCCAACCACAGATCAGGAGAAGGTATTTATATAAAGAAGAACTACAAAATTAGGGGAGCAGCCACGAGGGGTTTGGGGGAAATGACCTAACAGAAAAATGTCAAAATTATATGAATAAGTAATTTATGAAAGAATATGAGTGGCAAAGAGTTTTAATTGTAGAGATAGTCACTGTTAGATTAGACCACATTAAACTGTCAATTTCAATAGTTTTTGGCTCACAAAAAAATGCAATTTTATATAGGTAAAACTAGTAGCAGTAAGAGAAAAAATCATATATATATATATATAGAGAGAGAGAGAGAGAGAGACAGAGACAGAGAGAGAGAGACAGAGAGAGAGAGACAGAGAGAGAGAGACAGAGAGAGAGAAGAAATTGGCTCATGCAGTTATGGAGACTGACAGGTCCCAGAACTGCAGTTGGCAAGCTGAAGGCCCAGGAGAGCCAATTACAGCAACTTACAATGGTGTAAAGCTCCAATTCAAAATCCAGCAGGCTCAAGAACGAATCAAAGCTGATGTTTCGGTCTGAGTCCAAAGGCCAGACAAGACCAATGTCTTAAGCAGTCAGGCAGGAGAAATTCCCAACTCAGTCTTTTTGTTCTATTCACATCCTCAGTTGATTGGATGAGGTCCACCCACATTAGGGAGGGCCATTTGCTCTACCAGTCTACCAATTCAAATGTGAATTTCATCGAAAAACACCCTCACCAGACATACCCAGAATAATGTTTGATCAAATGCGGGGACATTCCAACGGCTGGTCAGCTTGGCACGTGAAGTTAATCATCACAGGCACTCACTCCCATGTTATTTGTAACATCACAGAACTGAAAACCATCCACCTGTCTACTCGTTCCACAAGTATTCACTCCGCACCCATTATGTGCCATGGGTTGTTCAATGTGTCGGGATAGACCAGGGGATACAGACATTCCTCCTCCTGGAAAGCTTATGTATTAGTTATGGGAGACAACTGGCAAGCATAATACTTGAGTTGGTTCCATGTTACTTATGTAAGCAGGGAGTGGTACTTTCCATAGTGTCAGGGAGACCATTCATAGTATATTCTCTATAGATGCCACTCTCTGAAAGTGTGTTGGGAATAAGTGGCAAATGGAGATTTAAATTAAATCAAGGCAGGCCTCATTTGGAAGTAGCCTATTAGCACAAACTTAAAAGTGATGAGGGAAATAGAGTACAGATATCTGGAGAAAAAAAGAGCCAAAAGGTAGAAGAAACAGACCTTGTAAAAAACAAACAAAAAACCCAATAATAATACCAATATTATCCTTGGTTTCGAGCTCTTTATCAGCGGTCCCCAACCCTTTCGGCACCAGGGACCGGTTTCGTGGAAGACGATTCTTCCCTGGACGGGGTTGGGGGTCCAGGAATGGGGAGCGGCAGGGAGCAGCGTATGAAGCTTCGCTGGCTGGCTCACCTGCTGCTCCCCTCCTGCCGTGCGGCCCGGTTCCTAACAGGCCGTGGACTGGTACCGGGCCATGGCCCGGAGGCTGGGGACGCTTGCTTTACATCACAGCCTACAAATGTGCCACCTATTTTGTACCCTTGCTCACTGATTCACGAGTGGAAGGAGGGCACCAGCAAGCACTCTTGTCATTTTGTGTGTATTTTTCTAGAAATAGTTTGCACATTAACAAAAGCATATGGACATATTATTTTAACCTTTTCCACAGCAGTGGCATATCTACATTTTGCTATTTTCAGTTAAAACACCATGGATAATTTTCCATAACAGGACATGCAGAGCTGTCTGATTTTTTTTTTTTTAAGATGTTGGGGTAGGAGTTTATTAATTAATTAATTTATTTTTGCTGTGTTGGGTCTTCGTTTCTGTGCGAGGGCTTTCTCTAGTTGTGGCAAGCGGGGGCCACTCTTTCATCGCGGTGCGCGGGCCTCTCACTGTCGCAGCCTCTCTTGTTGCGGAGCACAGGCTCCAGACGCGCAGCCTCAGTAGTTGTGGCTCACGGGCCTAGTTGCTCTGCGGCATGTGGGATCCTCCCAGACCAGGGCTCGAACCCGTGTCCCCTGCATTAGCAGGCAGATTCTCAACCACTGTGCCACCAGGGAAGCCCTATCTCATTCTTTTTAATGGCTTTATAGCATCTAATTTTATGGTTGCACCATAATTGATTTAATTTGTCCTTCATGGAAGGACACTCACATTTGACTTTTTAATATTCAAAACATTGCTATAATGAGTATATTTTGAATATGTAATTTCACAAATGTATGAATAAACTTGACAGATGCTACCAAAACACCCCTCGTAGAGATCAATGTCAATTTCATAGATCAATATCAATTTCTACTTTTCACAGCAGCCTGAGTCCCCGTTTCCCTCATATCAACATAGTGTTACCAGTCTTCAACTCTTTTTGTGTGTGTGTGTTACACGGGCCTCTCACTGTTGTGGCCTCTCCCGTTGTGGAGCACAGGCTCTGGACGTGCAGGCTCAGCGGCCATGGCTCACGGGCCCAGCCGCTCCGCGGCATGTGGGATCTTCCCGGACCGCGGCACGAACCCGCGCCCCCTGCATCGGCAGGCGGACTCTCAACCACTGCGCCACCTGGGAAGCCCCAGTCTTCAACTCTTAACCCATCTGATAAGTGAAAAGGGCCAACTTGTAGTTTTAACTTGCATTTCTTCAACGAGAGAGATCGGGCACCTCTTCTCAGGCTTAAGAACCACTTGTTCCCTGAAGTCAGCATTCAGTCAGGAAAACAGAAAGCACTCGAGGTAACAGAAAGCATACAGGAAAGGATTTAACACAGGTGCTTCCAAAACCTTGGAAGGGCTGGGTGAAAGGAAGGTCAGGGAAAGCTGCCAGTGAATTCAGGAAACCCAGAAGTCACAGGAATTGCAGGAAACCACGGCTGATGATCTCAGCTGCCGGCAGCCCTGAAGCAGGTATCAGTCGAGTGTGGAAGCTCCTGCAAGACCTCACGTATGCCATCTGAGCAAGCCTGACCCTGCCTCTGATGCTGAAGGAGCAATCAAGGCTTTTGTTTCTCTTCTGCTTTTCAAATATTACATGTGCCTCTCACTGGGAGACTGCAAGTAAACCCTCTTAGCAAGGGAATCAAGGAAGTGTGGTTTCTAGGCTTCCAGTTCCTACAATGCAGAATGAGAGTTTAGGAGGCAGGCCTAGTACCAAGTATCAGCAGGCAGTGCCCGGCACGGTCTACTCCTCTGGCTAGGCGGCACTCACACCTTTCCAGCTAGGTTTAAACCTCCAGGCGACTTCATGCTTCCACCGAATAGGATGCATCGATCCTCCCCACAACCAAGGCTGTTCACTTTCTTCCTAAGAGGGGAGAGAGGAAGTCCTATCAGTCACTACCCACCTCTGATCTTCATTCCTCTTTTGGTTCAATACAACTTGCCTTTGCCATCCTGTAACTTGAAGACTAGATTAAAAGTTTACTCAACAAAAACATGCCCTATATGAAATAACGAGGAAAAGGGGAGGAAAAAAAAAGGCACAACTGATTAAAATATAAAAGATACATTACAAAGCAATGAGAAAATATGCATTGTCACTAAAGTCCTTGTTTCTGCAACTGCTCCCAAGGTGAGAGTTGATATTTAAAATTTTCTTCTTTTACTATTTATTCTATGTTCCCTGTGCCTTGAGTCAAAACCTCAGTTAATTGAGATGCTTTACCTGGTGCGTGGCTCAAATCGTGACTGCTAAAGGATCAGTGCCATTAGGATTCTGCCTCTTCAACGCTGCCAAAGCCTTCTATCCATTCTCCCTCCACGCAGGGAAGTACTAAGAGGTATCCAGAAAAACTACTGTGGGTGTGTGTGTGCACGCAGGCTCGCATGTGTACGTGTGGGTTCTGTTAGGTAGACAAAGAGTTTTGGAGGCTTTTATTTACATTATGATATGGAAGAAAGTTCCGGACTTTGAGTCCTGTGTTCTTGTATTTCCTAGATGCTGTTCTGTCATGTTTCTTAAAGCAAGACTTGGGATTTGGCATATGTAATTGCTTATACTATTCAAAAGATCATTGAGATGGGTTACAAATAGGATTTTCCCCCCAAAAGGTAGACCAGTAAAAAATAAACATTTTTATGGCAAAAGCACAGCAACAAAAGCAAAAACAAGTAAGTGGGACTACATCAAACTAAGAAGCTTCTGCTTAGCAAAAGAAATCAACAAAATGAAAAGGCAATCTACTGAATGGGAGAAAATATCTGCAAGTCATATAACTGAAAAGGGGTTAATATTCAAAATATATAAGGAGTAGCAAGAAAACTAACAACCTGATTAAAAAATGAGCTGAGGAATTGGACAGTTTTCCAAAGAAGACAAACAAATGGCAACAGGTACATGAAAGGATGCTCAATATCGTTAATCATCAGGGAAATGCAAATCAAAACCACGATGAGATACTACCTCATTCCTGTTAGAAATGCTATTATCAAAAAGACAGGAGATAACAAGTGTTGGCGAGGGTGTGGAGGAAAGGGAACCCTAGTGCATTGTTGGTGGGAATGTAACATGGTGCAGCCACTATAGAAAACAGTATGGAGTTTCCTCAAAAAATTAAACACAGAACTATCGTATGATCCAGCAATCCCACTTCTGAATATACATCCAAAGGAAATGAGAACAGGATATCAAAAAGATGTCTGGGGCTTCCCTGGTGGCGCAGTGGTTGAGAGTCCACCTGCCAATGCAGGGGACGCGGGTTCATGCCCCGGTCCGGGAGGATCCCACATGCTGCGGAGCAGCTGGGCCCGTGAGCCATGGCCGCTGAGCCTGTGTGTCCGGAGCCTGTGCTCCGCAACGGGAGAGGCCACAACAGTGAGAGGCCCGCGTACCAAAAAAAAAAAAGAAAAAAAAAAGATGTCTGTACTCCCATGTTTATGGCAGCATTATTCACAATAGCCAAGGTATGGAAACAACCTAAGTGTCCATCAATGGATAAGCAAATAAAGAGTGGTATATATAGTCATCCTCAGTATCCAAGGACAATTGGTTCCAGGACCTACCCTGCAGGTACCAAAATCCATGGATACTCAAGTCCCTTATATAAAAAAATGTAGTATTTGCACGTAACCCATACACATCCTCCCACATACTTTAAATCACCTCTCAATTACTTATAATATCTAATACAATGTAAATGTTATGTAAATAGTTGTAGATATAATGTAAATAGTTGCCAGTATACAGCAAATTCAAGTTTGGTTTTTGGAACTTTCTGCAATTTTTTTCCCTGATATTTTTGATCTGCACTTGGTGGAATCCACAGATGCAGAACCTGAGGATACAAAGGACTGACTGTATACAATGGAATATTATTCAGCCGTGAGAAAGAAGGAAATCCTGTCATTTGCAACAATCTGGAAGGAACTTGACAGCATTGTACTAGTGAAATAAGGTGGGCAAAGACAAACACTATATGATGTCACTTATAGGTGGAATCTAAAAAGGACAAACTCAGAGGAACAGAGAATAGAGTAGTGGTTGCCAGAGGCTGCGAAGTAGGGGAAACGGGGAGATACTGTTCAAAGAGTACACCCTCCCCGGGATAAAATTATCAAGTGTGGGGATCTAATCCATAGCATGGTGATTATAACTAATAATACTGTATCATATATTTGAATGTTGCTCAAAGAGTAGATCTTAAATGTTCTCACCACCAAAAAGAAATGGCTTGTCTCTATGTACAGTGACAGAAGTAACAAAAAAAAGGAAAGAAAGAAAAGAAATGGTAACTATGTGATGGGATGGGGATCAACAGAGGCAGTAGCTAATAGTATGACGGCTGGTAGTAATTTTGTAATTTATAAATGTTTCAAATCAACACATTCTACATCTTAAACTTACACAATGTCATGTGTCAAGTATATCAAAATTAAGCCGGAAAAATATTGAATAAAGGTTAAAAAAAGAAATAATCACTTTTACCCTAAAATTTGAAGACGGTATGACTGAAAATTAACTATGTGTAATTTATTCCACAAGGCAAAAACCTTCTCTCTTGAAACACACCAATTATAGATGCATAAGGAACAAGCGCAATAGGTAGTCTCTGAATTAAAATATCAGTGTGCTTCTACCAAATGAGAACTTGCATTAGGGGACAAGGGAAGGGACAACGCTGGAACATGCACTCAACAGAACTTCACTTATTGTTTAAAAAAAAACGAACCGAAGAAAAGCCCACTACTTCATAAATCCTAGAAATTGCTTCATCTAGTTAGGATCCTTGGATTTATAAAGACTTCTTTTTATTATTATCTTTAAAATATTTATTTATTTATTTATTTGGCTGTGCCAGGTCTTAGCTGAGGCATGTATGTGGGATCTAATTCCCTGACCAGGGATCGAACCCAGGCCCCCTGCATTGGAAGTGCAGAGTCTTAACCCCACTACCTGGGAAGTCCCTTATAAAGTCTTTGATGGTGCATGGGACCTTAAGAAATCATCTAGACCGGTGATTCTTGGCTTTTTAAGGTCAAAGACGCATTTCAGAATGACATGAAAGTCGTGGGCATTTCTAACTAGAGAAATTCTCTAACATAATATCAGCATTTCACTCACACAACTATAACAAAATTGCGTATCTGCCCCTGTCAGAGTATAACCATGGAAACTGCATGCTTATACAAGTGTACGATGTGAAACACATATTTGGACTCCTCCAATAACAAGGTCTCTTTTTTTTTTTGCGGTACGCGGGCCTCTCACTGTTGTGGCCTCTCCCGTTGCGGAGCACAGGCTCCGGACGCGCAGGCTCAGTGGCCATGGCTCACGGGCCCAGCCGCTCCGCGGCATGTGGGATCTTCCTGGACCAGGGCACGAACCCGTGTCCCCTGCATCGGCAGGCGGACTCTCAACCACTGCGCCACCAGGGAAGCCCCAACAAGGTCTCTTAATCTGGGTCTCAGGGACTTAGTTTTAGAGCATCCATAGATGGATTTCTGAAGGTCCATGCCATCTCCTTAAATTACATGCAAAATTTTGCAGGTAGAGTCTATTCAGTAAGTTATATTCCTGGGTTCTTCATGCCCTGAAATGCTTTTTCACACAGATTATATGGCTCAATCATAAAAACACCTGAGAAAAGTGAGGCACATATTATTTAACAGATGATAAAACTAAGGTGCAGAAAGAATAAGGCTTAAGGTAAACCTGTTCAAGGTCACATATAATATTAAGAACCACAAAAAGTGGTGTGTCATTGCAGAAAGGCTGTCATCTAAGTTTCATTAGACGTAGTTTCTAATCCCAAATCTTTGTCTAGTGTGGTAGGTAACCTTGAGCGTGTTACTTAGCCTCTCTAGGTCTCAGTTACATTATTTACATATAAAGGGGGCAGTGGGAGGGAATATTACCATTCCCTGCCTACCTCAGAGCTCTAAGAATCAGCTGAATTTACACAAATGCACTTTTAGACAAAATGTAAGAAAGTCCTATAGTTAACCTGTGGGTTGTAATTTAATGTATAAATCATCTAAAAACTTTCAAGTCTCAACTTCAAAAAAAAATTATGAGTTGCAAATGTGACACCCCATCAACATGAACAAATTGTTGACCACGAGGTACTTTCTAGAATTCTGGATGGCTCTAAGTATAGAGGGTCCAAGGACACTGGTCCTGTCCATAACCCCTCCAGGGATCAACAGAGCCCCAAATGAGAGTGTGCTGAACAGGGATACTGAAGACCTCACCAACCCTGATGGAAATCAGGACCTGATCTATTGTTTGGAGAGCCACTCTGAATCAGGAACCAACAGGGGCTCCTTTAGCAAGATCATCTGGAAGATAAACAGATGATTGATTTGGCTGCAATGCTACTGCTCTAGGCTGCAAGTTACCACATTCACAATTCTGGATGCAACAAACTGTGCACTCAAAGAAAGACAGACTCAAAGTATTTCTTCAAAAATAAACTGCAGGGGGACTTCCCTGGTTAAGAATCCACCTGCCAACACAGGGGACACGGATTCAATCCCTAGCCCGGGAAGATCCTACATGCCGCGAAGCAACTAAGCCGTGTGCCACAACTACTGAACCTGCACTCTAGAGCCCGCGAGCCACAACTACTGAGCCCATGCACCACAACTACTGAAGCCCGTGTACCTAAAGCCTGTGCTGTGCAACAAGAGAAGCTACCGCAATGAGAAGCCCGCGCACTGCAACGAAGAGTAGCCCCCGCTCACCGCAACTAGAGAAAGCCCATGCACAGCAAGGAAGACCCAATGCAGGCAAAAAAAATAATAAGTAAATAAAAATACCTTTAAAAAATTTTTTAAAAACAATAAACTGCAGAACTTCCACAAGAT